AACAATTACAAGAAATAAAAACAGCATTGCGGAAGCTGAGAAAATAATAGGCCAAACACTATTCAGCAAACTAAGACAATATAGTGAATTTAAGAAGCCTGGACAAATCAAAATATTTTGGCCTGGAATTGAAAAGCAGACTCGAGTACAATTGAACAAAGCAGGTTTCCAAAGGGGGTGGGCCGTGAGGGGCCATTTAGCCCACAGGGGCTGATCTGTGACTCCTAAGGTCCCATTCACACTTATGCTTGTCCCGTGCCTAGACAGCATGGGTCCAAGCAGTTTCCCCCTTGGCCTGCTTCTTTCCCAAGGAAACCCTGCTCTTTAGTGCTAAATTGGAACAAACGTCAATCCGGAGAAAACCTGAATTGCCGTTCGCTAAAGAGCAGTTTTCTCCAGGGTGAGGGGAAGTGTGGCTAAGCCCTGAGTGGTCCTGCATTTTAATTCAGCCTTTGCTCCTTGGGCAGTTGCAAAAGTGTTCCTGGGGAAGTTGATGGTAACGATAAAGTACTAATAAAACACCTTTATTGAAAAAGAAGTTGAAGTGCGTGTTAACGATGAGTAGCAGACAAGTAATGGTGGCGGCAGCAGAATCTGAAGGCAAAAGCGCTACTAATTTAATAATATCTTATTAGGAACACTTCAAACAATATGAACTACGTAAGACTTGTTATACTGTGATCAGATCCACCTTCTCAGGGTTGGGGTTTGTCCAAAGAGCAGCCAGCCAGGACAAGGTGCAAGGCCATAAAAGCTCACAATAGGCCTCGCCTTGTTCTTTGCCCCCAGCTCCTGTGACTCCAAGGCATACGACTGCCTCTGAAGGCTCTGTAGAATTACACAGCTCAACTCCTCACAACAGGGCAAGTGGGGCTGGGGAGAGACATTTACCTCTGTGGGTACATTGCATCAGGACTTCCTCACATCCATCGTTTCCGTTCAAATGTGCTAATACAGGGTGCTTTGGTGGGTTAGCACATGGGAATACCACAAAGCTGCATATTACTCAATATCCTCCAAACAGGGGTGTCAACAGAATTTGACAGGGCTGCTACATTGTATGGGGATTGGGGCCCCTGCATCGCATCCTTCTGGCTTCTGCAATCTGTTGGCAAGAGCTGTTACTCATGTATATATAATAATTTAGCCGAACCTACATCGCAAGGCTGTTGCGAATGTAAAGAGAGGGAGGGAAAGAAAACGTACCAACCCTGGCCTCCTGGGAAGAAAAGCGAGATGCAAACACAGGATCAATGTACGGTAATTACGGTAGCTCCCACAGGAGGCAGCTGAAAGTCACCAACTTGGATGGCTTTAAAAGAGGAATAACACAAGAGGCGGGGCTTTTTCACAGGCAGCCCCCGTGTTGTGGAACGCTCTCCCAATTTGTAGTAGCATTCCGTCTGTCCATCAAGACACCCCTTTTTAGGTGCAACTATTCCCCTGATCGCCTGACTTCCCATTCATTCTTAACCGTTACTTTTGCTGTTTCATCGGCTTGTTTATTAAGGATGTTTGTTTTCATTGCATTTGTGTTTGGCCATATTCTTAAAACTTGTTTTCTATTTGCAACCCCCTTATAAGCCTTAATGGCAAGTAAAATTAATGATGGGTGATGCTGTGAGAAGCGCCTCCTTGTTTGCAAGGCCGCCTGCCCCTGGTCTTCATGTTCATCTTTCGTAGGCCAAAGAAATGACCGTCCCGAAGTGGTTACCAAGTATGGGCCCTTGCAGGGCATGCTGGCCAGAGTGAAGGGCATCGACCAGCCTGTGAATGTCTTCCTTGGGATCCCTTTTGCCAAACCGCCGGTCGGAGCCCTGAGATTCTCCCCACCGCAACCAGCAGAACCGTGGAGCCATGTGAGGGAGTCAACGTCTATCCCTCCCGTGTAAGAATGAGCCAAATGTGGCTTTGCTGGACATCCTCCTTGGGCTAGATTACTATGAAGGTCCTTTTTTCAAGAGATGCACTTCCTGTCTTGCTTTTAGTTGGTAGCAAAATGGTTTTCAGACCCAACTCAAATCCTCTGCCGTAAGCAAGAAGAGTGCCATTGGGTACAGAAAGAACAGCTATGTTAATCTGTGTCCATTGGTAAAAACAATTCTGTCGGGTCGGAAGGGGCAAAACCTGAAACATTGTCTGGATAACTCTAGCTTGCTTTAAGATAGGAAAGCTATTTGGGAACACAGTTCTTTGGGAAGAAACAGGGTTATAGCTCTTTAAGTAAACAAATGGGAAGATGCTCCCTGGCCCTCAAACCCGTCATGAGTCTATTGGAGGCAACAACAGCCTCCTCATGGCTCCATTCCAAGGGCTGGGGCAGTATCTGTCTTCCAAGCCAAAGGGACTTTGCACCTGTTTAATCCAGCATTCAGAGGGCACCCAATTTCCCCAAGGAACCGCCAGCCTCTGGAGCTGAGGGATAAGGAGGTTTTACTCCGTGTTGTTCACCTGCCCTCCTTTCAGGTGGTGGGGGTGATTGTGGGAGCAGCGCAAATTGGGCAGTCCACACAGTTTGCTTCTAGGCATCAGCAGTGCTGCTTAGGGGGTGTTTCCCCTATCACCACCACCCATGGAACTGAGAGCAGGGGCTGGGCTGCTGAGCAAACATGTCCATCTTTAAGGCAGCAGGCGACAGAGGAGCTTCTGTGCAAAAGAACTGCAGTTCCAGCTTTTCCAGTCTGACCACATTGAATGCCCCAGGGCCTCTTTTCTGGTTAATGAGGAGCAGAGCAGGCAAGGCTCTTGTCAAGCGATGAGTCAGTGGGAAACACACACAGGAGCAGTGGCTACTGGAGACAAGCAGGTCCATAAACTTCTGTCCTGCATGCAAATGTATTCTGGTCTACAACAATTTGGTTTCTCCCGAGTAATCCTGTGAATTGCAGCTTGAATTCTAAGTTGGAGCCCCTGCCAGGCACACATTGGCTATATATCTCTGTGTTCCCGAGAAGGCAGGTGGTGGTAAAAGCTGTTTAAATATCTCACACACACCCCAACCATGAGCGTGACAGATAAGAGCTCCCCTCTCCTTAGCCTGACCGTCCTTTCACATCCTTTTCTTTCTTCTCATCTGTTCCAAAGGTGCCTGCAAGACTTGGGATGGGTGGCTGACTTTAGCAAGATGCTGAATATGACGCTTCCCGACTTAGCAGTGGCCGAAGATTGTCTTTACCTGAATGTTTTTACCCCAGACACCAAGGCCAAATTGCCTGTAAGCAAACAAAGCCTTCCTTACGAGTATCGCCTCATGCTGCCTGCAAATGTGCAACCAGAAGTAGTGCAGGATCAGAAGCAGTTGCTCTTGAGGCCAGCAGGGCAGAGGACAGAAACAGCAAACCACAATGTTATGGGGCTGTTGCTCCCCCCCCCCTTTAATTGCCCATGCTCCACTCACACATGCACACATGCTTCTTTTACCTTCCTTTCCACAGCTGGAGTGAAGAAAACAATGAGCAGCAACTCTTTACCTTCAGCCTGTAGTTCACTCTTCTCTGAGACATTTCCCCTCCTTTTCCTCAGCTTTTGACTGGCGTCTCTTCACAGTCCAAGCCCTTCAGCTGCCCATCCACTCCCTGGATCTCCTCAGCCACTCTGGATGCTCTGCAGCTGGGATTCTGGGTTCACCCCAACCCCTCGTAGAGTCCGATTCCCCATCCAATCTGAAACCATACTGGAACCTGCTTAGGAGCTTTGCAAATGTGGTAGCGGTTTTATTGCTGCAATGGCATGGATTCTGCCTTTCAGCTGCTCCACTGGCTCCTGGTGCAGAGCACCCAACTTCTCTTGAAAGCTCTTTTAGTGCTGGCCCTGTTGCTCCATTAACACCAAGTTCATCTGTGCCAGGAATGTTGCTGTTATAACGAGTTCCTTTTATTTTGTGTATTTTCCCAGGTCATGGTCTGGATTCACGGAGGGGCTCTGATATTAGGTGGAGCTTTTATGAATGATGGATCAGCCTTGGCTGCTTATGAAAAGGTGGTAGTTGTTGCGATTCAGTACAGGCTGGGTCTCCCAGGATTCTTCAGGTGAGATAGTTTCTAACACTTGAAAAGCCGCACTAACTTAAAGGTACACAGGGCACATGCAATCTCTTTGGTGAAGATTAGAGATGCCTTTGCTTCTCTTGCTTCTCTTGCTAGGAGTAATAAATAAAAAGCTTTGCAAGGAGAGGAAAGGAGGTGCAAAGAAAAGGGAAGAGGAGGGGAATTCAACTTGCTTCATCACTGCATCTTCCTGATTTGCACCACGCAAAATAAGACACAACCAAAAGACCTGCAACCCTTTGAAATTAGTATTTCTCCAAATTTTGTGATACAGTTATCCAACCAGAAAATGCATGTGGAAACACATATTAGAGGAAATGTGGAAGAAAAGGCATATAATAGTGAAAACAGCCTGCGAAGTTAAGAAGCTGGAAGTCCCAAGCAATAGGGTCCTGAAAGAAGGGCTGAATGGAAGGAAAAATGGGGGGACAGAGGAGACACATGAATGGCTGAAATAAGAAGGATCCTGGAGGAAATACTCACTTTGCGCTACCTGGCAGCTGTTGCCCATTTCAGAGTGGTGGTGCTGAGGCAGAAGACTGCTCGCTTCTCAGGTCAAACCTTCAGCTTATCTCCTTGCAGAGCAGAGATAGATCATTTTGTGGGTGGGGGATGCATGTTAACCATCTAGTAGTTTCTCCATCGCTTGACTATTGCCTTTCTTTTAGCACTGGTAGCAGTGATGCCCGTGGAAACTGGGGATTGCTGGATCAAGTAGCTGCTCTCCAGTGGGTTCAGGAGAACATTGCACATTTTGGAGGAGATCCCAATTCTGTGACCATATTTGGAGAGTCTGCAGGAGCATTTAGTGTTGGTGCTCAGGTAGGGATCCACTAAATATGGAGATCGCAAAGGCTCTGAGGACTCTGCCAGAGATCTCTAAACTGGGGCTGGGAGGTGGGCAGAAGAAAGATCTGGATCCAGTTGTAAATCACTTTTATGATGTAGATCTCCAAGGATTTCTGGTTTAACAAGACCAACAACAAAGTGCTTCCTCCGTATTAAAGGACACTACTGGCAAAACTAAGATAGTTTGGGGGAGACAAGGGTATTTGTGTGGAAGGACTGTAAGGGCCGTTCAGCTCTAGTACTCAGACACAGCAGCTGCCTTTGCAAGAAATGTTACGTCTTCCACAAAATAGTCTGAAGCAAAGCAGGTTGCCTCTGAAACTCTGGACCTGCTCAGCTCAGGAACTTCACTGGACATTTGAGAGCTGCCTTCAGAGCCACCTGTGCCATGGAGACAGTGCTGGTGGGGGGGAGCCCACATCCACCTTTGGGAGAATAGATTCTATTTAGGGCTTGCAAGGCTTTATTTTCCACTTATCAGCCAATGGAGACAGTACTGTCTCCATTGACTTGCATGGAGAGAGGAGAGTGGTGACACCTGAAGCTTTGGAAAACCAAAACAAGGTTGTAGCTTGCATCCAAAGCAGTGAGTAAAGGTAAAATGCACACCCATTACACCCAGCACAGCCAGCTTTCCACTGAGATAATGCAAGGATTGTTCACACCTGAGCTTAATGTGCGTTTGAAGCTGTTTGCACTCCCATTTAAGTACAGCCGTACCTTGGTTTTTGAACAGCTTAGTTCTCGAACGTTTTGGCTCCTGAAAACTGCAAACCGAGAAGTGACTGTCCTGGTTTGCGAACTATTTTTGGAAGCCAAACGTCCAGCGCGGCTTCCGATTGGCTGCAGGAGCTTCCACGCTTTGGTTTTTGTACGTTTTGGAAGTCAAAGGGACTTCTGGAACGGATTCCGTTCTACTTCCAAAGTATGACTGTAATGCCCTACACAAGACATCCCCCTCAAACAGCTGCTCTCCTGCTGATAACCTGGGAATTTAGATTGCCCTGATCCAGGGATAATCCAGTAAGTTTTGAAAAATGTGACTCCAAACCACTCCACTTGAGATGGTGAAAGCCTTGGATTTTGCTCCCGAATTTTAAAAAAAGTATTTATGTATTTAATTATTACTTTTGAACTGCACAGAAAACTTTAGTTTGGGGACAGTATGTAAATATTGAAAATAAATACAGTCAATGCCATATTAAAAAACACCTTTGATTTTGAATGCCTTGTTTTGTGTCTCTCACCTGCCCTCCTTCTTCCTCTGCTGCAGCTTCTGTCCCCCTTGTCCAAGGGCTTGTTCCACAGGGCCATCTCTGAGAGCGGAGTCACTCAGCTTCCAGGCCTCATCACTAGCCGCCCAGAAGTCCTTGCTCAAGTGAGTCTGTTGTTGTTGTGCAGGGAGACAATACCCTTAAGAGCAATAGTCTGGTTCCCAAAGTGCTTTGGACTGTTCCAGGGAATGAAAGTTTGAGGATTGCAGCTTAAGCATCTCTCAGATATTAATCAAAGCAGACTGATATAAGGGGTGAATCAAAGCCTTCAAAAAGATGGAAGAGAGACAGCCTCTGAGCATGAGCAGAGCTCTGTAGCCAAGGGGGCCCCATCTAGTCCAGCATCCTGTTTTCACAATGGCCAATCAGATGCCTAAGGAAAGCCTGCAATAATTTGCTGGGAGGGAACATGGAACTGTGATTTACAGTACAGTGGTACCTCTGGATGCGAACGGGATCCATTCCGGAGCTCTGTTTGCATCCAGAAGCAAATGCAACCTGCGCATGCACGTGACGTCATTTTGACCGTCAGCGCATGCACGAGCGGCGAAACCCGGAAGTAACACGCTCCGTTACTTCCGGGTCGCCGCAACACGCAACCCGAAAATTCTTATCCCGGAGCTACTTCAACCCGAGGTATGACTGTATAACGTTAATGGTACATTATTAAAATGTGACACTAGAAGATGCTGTAGAGCAGCAAGCCACCTGCAATAAGGAAACTGCATGTTAAACATTATAGAACGATACATCTAATGCTGTCCTAATAATGTTTAAAAGATCAATGTAGATCCAGCCTGTGTGTGTTTGTGTGCACACTCCAGCAGCTTTCTTTCTTACGTCCTGCTTTATCAACCCAAGAGGCTCTGAAACTAGCTTGCCAAGGGTTTGGTCAATACAATCACATTCAAAAAGATGTGTGCAGTTAATTGGAAAGAACCTGGTCTCTTCTGCGTCTAGGGAACTGGAGGAGATTCTCCTCTGAGGTGTTCTCAAAGTAAAGGAAGGATTGAACTCTGATTAATAAGGATACACACAGAGGCTTGAACCAGCAAGACTCTGGGAAGGGTGTGTATAATAATCTCTCTGTCCACCCCCTGGCCCAGGTCATTTTATTCACAAAAGAACTTTTTACAGAGTGTTTGTAAAAACCAATCAGATTTCTTCTGAGCATTTCAATAAACCCCACGTGGGGACAAAGTTAAACTATAAACACTAGTTAAGCATGCATACTTTTGGGGTTAATAAATGAAAACTACAAAGGAGTGCATTCAGCAACCCCGGAGGTCATAAACAATCAATACACATGATAATAAGGATGGCCAGGAGGACAGCGATCATTATCACTTTTATGTGAGACCTGTTTCCTGGCCCTAAGATTAACATCCTAAGATTAACATATCAGAAAAGCTACATCAAAGAAGCTTGCCCACTATCTTTGATGGCCCAGGATGCATGCCTGGCTAAGCAACTGGCAGCTGGGCTACGTATGTCACTTGTCAAGCAAGAGAAATGGACAGCAGAGAAAATGGCCAGAGATGCAGAGGGTTGTGGGATTTGGACAGAAATTATTGTCAATGAATTAAACCCAGTCAACACAATGCATTCATCGTGGACACAATGGCTTGATGCATATTTTATAATTCCTCATAGTAATCCCACCTGACCCCACACCCTGGATATTTGCACTCCTACACTCCTCATCACTCAGCACAATATCTAACATTAGGGCTAAAATTAATAACACAAAAATTGCAATTTTGGGAAACGTCCAACTCATGGTCCTATCAGTAAGAACAGGAATCAGATATGGGGCATTATGAGGGCAGCCTTCCCCCGGTTATGTAACTCCCCCCATGAAATCCGGCAGCCCTCCTCCACACATGACTTTATCTGCTTTCAGGAAACATGTTAACACCTTTTCTTTAAAAAAAAAATCATGCAAGCTTCTGACCAAAAAGGTTTACACTGCTGGTTTTAACTGCTGCTTACAGTAAGTTTTACTGTTGTTTTGAATTGGTGGTCCTTGGGATGAAAGCAGGGGAGAAATGAAATGCATTAAAAAATGCTGTTATGCAGTTTCATTATTGAGCCACCCTGGCCCTTTGGAGAGGAAGGGTGGGTTATAAACAGGAAATTATAGACAAGAAATAAGAAGAATACTGTAAGTGAGGGTGGGGATTTAAAAGCAAAGATGTCATCGTGCCATGCTTTGTTTCAACAGCCCGTTGCCCGGTTTTGGGGTGTGTGTGTGTGACTGGCCCTGTGGCCTATCATGGATGCTTAAAAGATGTTGAAATTCCTTGTCCATGAAGACAGGGGTCCTTGTTTCAGGATGACAACCACCCTGAGACGAGTGACAGCCTCAAGCTCTGCTTCAAACAAGCCCATGGAAATGTCAGGCTGTTGTGATTGTTCACCATCAATGCAGTGCCAATTGCTGTGTGGTGTAGTGGTTAAGAGCAGTGGACTCGTAATCTGGTGAAGCAGGTTCGTGTCTCTGCTCCTCCACATGCAGCTGCTGGGTGACCTTGGGCCAGTCACACTTCTCTGAAGTCTCTCAGCCCCACTCACCTCACAGAGTGTTTGTTGTGGGGGGGAAGGGAAAGGAGAATGTTAGCCACTTTGAGACTCCTTAGGGTATTGATAAAGCAGGATATCAAATCCAAACTCCTCCTCCTTCTCCTCTTCTAATCTGTATTATTATTTTATTCCCCCCTCCTCCATCAAAAGTTCTCAAATAAAATTGCAAAAGCCTCGGGCTGTGAGGCCAGCAGTTCTGCGCTGGTGCATTGCTTGAGGAGCAAAACAGAAGAAGAACTCAGAACCCTGAATACCAACTTGACCCTGGTGAGTCTGAAAACTTCAACGACATCCACATAATGTGATGCTCTTCCGCTCTTTTTTTGCTCTCCTTTGTTTATTTGGGTCGGGAGGTACGTGGGCCACAAACTGTTGGAATCTTCCTAGATGAAAAGATTTAAACATGAGGGAGTTTGCATTGTTATCCAATGGGACAACATGCACACATGCCAAAAGGTTTGTTTGGACTAAGCCCATGCCTCTCCAGGGTCTTTCTGTTTGGCGATTCGTCATTTTGCCTCATACAAACACACATGTATTTTTCTCATTCCAAATCCTTCTTGGTCGGGTTTCAAGCATATTAACACTTTGGGGAAAGGCTACAGTTTAGTGGGAGAGAATCTGGCTTGCATGTGGAAGTTTCTAGATTTAATCCCAGCATCTCCAGGTTGGAGTGGGAAAGGCCCGTGCCCAAAACCTTGGAGCGTGGCTACCAGTCAGTGGAGATAATATTGAGCTAAATGTGGTCTGGCTTGTAATAAGGCAGCTTCCTATGTCCCTGCTTTTGGAATTGTCCAGTTTTGCTTCATTCTTGTTATACATAACTTTTGCAGTTGTTTCTAGGGATCCAATACACATTAAAGATAACTTTTCTTTAAAAACGAACAGGGATTTGGGATTATCCCCGCAGTAGTTGATGGAGACTTCATTCGAAAGGCACCTGAGGAACTACTGGCCTCAAAGGAACTCAACACTGTCCCATATCTATTAGGTGTGAATAATCACGAATACGGATGGGTTGTTCCTGCGGTAAGTTGCTCACAATTTATTTTTGTACCCTGATGTGTGGCTGCAATAGAGTCTGGTGCTTTTGAATAATATTTTGAAAGCAAATGATGTTTGCTGAAATTCCCTGCCCCTCCTTCCCTTCTTCCTCATCCTCTTTATGGATTTACCATGTCTTTTGTGCCTTTACAAACTCAGGTAAAAGGAGTGAAGGCCAGGTTCCATATTCCTTGGATGATATTGAATGTGAAGTCTCTATTTAATTCCACAGGCAATGAACATCTCCGGCATAACTGAAGGCATGGATAAGGAGACCATCATTGCATTGTTTCAGCGGATAACCGCCTCCATGGTAAGAGAGAAGCCAACGAGCCCTACTTACTGAGCTTTCTACAAGCTCCAGTGTGTATGGGAAAGGGGAGATAACATAAAGAGGGGCAGAAAAAACACCTGCAAAACAGGGCCGGCCCCTTCCAAAGGCCTTTCCCTTCCAGCCCTTTGTGGTTTCATTTTTGCAGCCTTTAAAGCAGGGATTAAACATGCATCTAGGATCAAATGATCCACAACATCAGGTGCCAGTTACAGAAACAAGAACAAAAACTCTGGGTGTGGTGGCTGGGGGTTGGGGACCCTCCGCACCTTTGCAGAGTGTGAGACCCACCCACAAGCAGCTGGTGGCAGTGGAGGAAAACCCAGAGGCCCCTTTGCTTTCTTTTGCAAACAGGCATCTCTGCTGCCACTTTACATGTCTTAAAGCAGGGGTGTCCAACAGGTCGATCCCCTCAAAGTTTTGGTAGAGGTCTCTGGCCCCTTCCCTGCTTTTATGGAAACCAGGGAGGTGGGATTAAGTCTTCATCACTAGTTCCCCACCCCTTCCCTCCCTGTCAGGGGTGCATCATTTACACCCCTCCACAAATCCATCCATTCACACCTACACACACCCTTGACACAGACATTTAAAGCTGCCTTTCTTTTGCCTCTCCCCTTTTCTCCTCCCACATCCCTGAAATTGTTCCCATTCACATGAGTGGGATGCTTTCACTAACCCTGTTGTGCAAAGGTGCAATTGAGGAGAGGGTTGTTTTCTTCCCAGCTCCTCCCCAGCCCATTCCAATTCCTCTCTCCTTGCATGATAAATTAGCCTTGGGGAGGGGGGAAAACCTATTTTCCTCTAACCCTAATTGCCATGTTTGGGGGCAGGAAGCAGATGTGTGGGTGTAGGATCCCAAAGCTTTGAGGGCTATGAGTGGCCCACAAGCCAGAGGTTTCCTCTCCTTGTCATGTGTTGTCGCTGTTGTTTCCTGGAAGAGCCCAGCTGCCGCACCCATTTCCCTGGCGGCATTTGCTGGGCAATGGATGTCGCAGGAGGGGCAGTGGTTCCCATGGCCTTCTCTAATGTGCCTGCTTCCTCCTTTCCTTGCAGAATTTATCACCTGAGCCTCTGCAGATGGCACTGGATGAATACTTGGGAGACACCAAGGACCGTGTCAAGTTACGAGATCGCTTTCTGGACATGATGGGAGATATGGTCTTTGTTGCTCCTGCTGTTGAGATAGCTAGATATCACAGAGGTGATTTCACTTTTGAAATAACGGAATGACCACAGCAAACCGTTATTTATCTATTTTATTTATTAGATTTATATACCAACCTTCATCATAAGATCTCATTAGAAGCTCTTGCATTGGGGAAATTTCTAGAGGCTCCATGATTGTCAAGAGGTGCTGGGTTCTAGTCTTGCAACCCAACCCGGATGAGAAAAAAATACTTGGGGGGAGGGGGAGGGAAGATGCCGCTGGTCCAGGGGGGTGGGTTCAGCCTGCCTCACCCTTTTGCTCTCCCCACAATCCGTCCTCTGATCCTATGCCAGGTGGAGTATGCATTTTATTTATGATAGATCACTTTCTAACCCCACTTTTCCACCCAGTGGAACCACATCAAAGTACGAAGTGAAATACAAAATAACATTCAAAACCATTAGACCCACACAGATAAAATGTCTTCCATGAAACCAGTGTTTTTCTTCTAAAAATATGTTTAGGGGGTGCTCTCATTCTGACTCAAGAAAAGCACCATTTTATAGTTCAAATCGGGGAAAATAAATACAGTAAATGGGCTAAAGTACAAAGATTCACAAAATGTTTTGGGGGTATGCGTCCCCCTGTGTCCACCCAGAAAAAAGTACTGCATGAAACTAATGCCACCATATTTACAGTTGATATTGTAAGTAAACTTTGGAGACCATAACCCTGTCTGATTCCCCCTCCCCCCCCCCCAATTTATTTACTGCATTTATATTCTACTCTCTTTTTTTCTGCAAGGAGCTCAAGGTAGCATCCTCATTTAATCCCTATACAACAACCTTTTTGCTGTAGTTTAGGCTGAGAGGCAATGACTAGCCAAGGTTACGCAGTTAGCTGCATGGCCAAGTGGGGATTTGAACCCAGGTCTCGCAGGTTCTAGGTCCAACATTTCACCCTAGCTTTGCTTGCTGATAGAAGGTCATCAGAGAATGGGCTGTGTGGGCTTCCTTTGGCAAAGATATCGAAAGTCCAGGAGCGGTCACTGAAAAGCCCCTTTCTTGAAATTTCTGCCAAATACACTTCTTCAGGTATTTGTGGCACAGACAGAAGCTCCCTCTCTCTCCTCCTCTGTCCCTGATCTCAACACTCAAGCAGACTTGTATGAGAGCAATCTTTTGGATATCCTGGTCCCAAGTCATGTACTGTCATAATGAACTTTTTGACTTGTGCCCAGAGACGACTTCTAGACAGTGTGTCTTGCTCCCAGTAGCTGGCAGTGACTAGCTGCCCAGGCATTCTGAGCCAGTTGCTATAGGAGTCCAAATTATAGCTGCCACTAAGACATGTGTCCCTGTGATGCGGTATGTGGTGAACACATGATATTAACAAATGCATTGTGCATGCTCATGACTGTGATCATATGTGCTCTGTGGATCACAACCATCGTAATGTATGGTGTCCCAGTAATCACTGCAAACACTGATCTCTCTCTCTCCCCCCTCCCCCACCCACTTTTTATTTCAGATTCTGGAGCTCCTGTCTACCTTTATGAATTCCAGCACCGGCCCAGTGCATTAAAACACGCAAAGCCAGATTTTGTGAAGGCAGATCATGGTGATGAACTTGCCTTTGTATTTGGGGTACCATTCTTAGGCAGTGAGTCAGCCGCTTTGATGGGTAAGAATCTTATTGATGTTTTCTTCTGCTTTGCTTTTATAAGGCAGGGAAAGGTGCAGTTGCACAGGAGAAAGTCAATAAGGTCAGAAGGATTTCTTAAGGCTGGGCAAGACTGGCTTCTTTTGTAATGGAGATTATTGCCTCAATAGCTGGATCTTCCTTAAGTCTTCTGAAGGCGTAGGTGGCATAGCGTAGGGGGGGCTGCAATCGCCCTGGGTTCATTTTTCAGGGTGGGGCAAGCACTGCTCCTGCCCCTCCCTGAGCCAGGCTGGCACTGCTTTGTGAGACTAGGATCTGATATATCCCAGCCTTGCAAAGCCACTTGGGGAGGGCGGCGTGAGAAGGGAGCAACAACCATGCACCCTTCGTTCCCAGCCACACTTTTGCTGGTGAGGCCGGGGTCGAAGGGAGCATGGCTGGTGTGCCTTTCTTATGCTGCCCTCCCCGGATTCGAGCCTTGCAAAGCCATTCTGGGAGTGCAGTGTGAGGACACAACAGGCATGCCACTAGGGACTGGTGTTGCTCCAGCAGTGACGAGGGCTGGCTGGGTGAGCTAAGTGGGCTCCATTTGTTCTTTGTGTCTTGCCCCGTGTGAGCGCATGTGAACTGGGCATCATGGAGACACATGGCTTTTCCCGCTTCTAGCTCAGGATAAGTGGGCAGGAAGGGGCAGAGTCTTGCAGCTCTGGAATGTACCTTTTGGCGGTTTGCCTCACTCTGGAAGTCTGATGTGGGTTTTGCTTCTGGGGTGTTTAAACTGCTGCCTCCAGCTATGCTTAACCTGTATAGATCTGTAAAGAAACTCTAATATTATGAAATGGCCTCAGCGACCTCCTTCCAAAGGCAACCAAACTTGGGTGAGTGGAGCTGACCTGGAACTTCTCCCCATTTGGAGAAGCGGGCTGAATAACAACATTATCAAGGATTAATTTAATCATTAACCAGCTTTAGCAAATCACAGGCTGCTGTTTAAATATGCCCAAGGAATTTCAATATTTGCCAGACTGTCCGTCCCCCCAAACAAAAAAAAAATATGGGAACTGTAGTTTAAGGGTGCTGGGAGTTGCAACTCTGTGGCATGCAAACTACAGCTCCCAGTGCTTGATATCTTTACTAAGCCGCTCTGGGAATTTATCTGAAAGGTAGAAGTTTATGTCTGATAGGAAACAAAAACCATAAACAGATGAGGAAGCAAAACAAATTTTAAGCAAATGATAACAATGAAACACCTCTTTAAAGCTCTACTGATAGTCAATACCATAAATTCTACATGAATTACTACATGCTACATGACTAATACATTCTTCCCCCTGTACTTCTCACATAAAGCGACAGAGGCCGAGAAAGAGCTCAGCAGAAAAATGATGAAATACTGGAGCAACTTTGCCCGAAATGGGTAAGATTCTTGGCTATTTCAAAACACTATGCCTCAGTGGTTGAAATATTTGCATTGTTATTAATAATTGCTATTATTTGATATCTATCATAAAGCATCTGTAGGTGACTTACAAATACAAGGACACCAACAATCAAGTTTAACAATAAACCGCAATAACAGCAAAATTGTAATACAGAAGCATCAATAATCCTGGTAATCCTATTCTCTCGAATGCCTGGGAGAAGACGCACGTTCTGACCTGATGCTGAAAGGATGTAAATAAATGTCAGCACCAGGAAGGCCTCACTGGGGAGGCTGCAGCCAAAATGGCCCTCTCCCTTGTCACCACCTTCTAGACCTATCTTGGAGGGGAGACCCAGCGAAGGGCCTCAAACAATGAGCACAAGGTCTACCCATGTTTAAGAGGAGAGGCTTTAGGGCAGGGGTCAGCAAGGCTTACCTTGCCTCGGCTGGTTCATTGCCACAGAGCCCCTCTGTGGGCCAGATCACAGGTGCGTGATTTTCGGCGTCTGCGCAGGTGTAATTTCCAGCATCTGTGCATGCGCAGACACAATTTCCAGCGCTGTGAAAGCGAGTCCCCGCACTGGTTTAGCGCAGTGCGCGGGGGCTTGCCCTGCAGGCGGCTCGGTTCGGGGGTGGCTCGTGGGCTGGTAAAACCACCCCGTGGGCCGCTTGTGGCCCATGGGCCTTAGGTTGCCGACCCCTGCTTTAGGGCCTTGAGCCACATAAGGCTTTCCAGGTTAAACTAAGACTTGGAATTGGTCCCGGAAACAAATAGCCAGTGCGCCTATGCCAGAACCAATGATGGGCTCAGACCACTTCATTTCCCTCATCAGTCGTGCTGCCACATCCTACACCAGCTGCAGTTTTTGAGCTGTCTTGAAAGGCAGCCTCATGTATAGTGCATTGTTGTAATCGAAAACAGAGGTTGCTAGAGGATAGATTACCAAGGAACCACCCACTAACAGCGTCTCGTTGTTTCGGATTGAGCCTCATCCAGTCCGTCACCATGACCAGGCACCAGTTCAGCACACCAACCATCTCAGCGGCAGAAAGAGAGATGCGTGCCGTCAGCGTACGGATGGCGATACGCTCCGAGATGCTGTATGGGCCCCACTCAGTGGCTTTACGTACATGCCAAAAAGTACAAAACCAAAATGCTGAATAGGAACTGAATTCTCGGCTCTGTCTTTTGCAGGAATCCAAATGGCAAAGGTTTGGTGGAATGGCCTCAGTATGGTCTGAATGAAGAATATTTGGAATTAAACCTGGAGCAAAGGAAAGCAGAGAAGCTGAGGAAGAACAAGGTGGACTTCTGGTTAAAGACACTGCCTGAAAAATGAAGAAAATGGCTGAAGGAAAGGAAAAACATGGGGAACTGTAACCAGTGGCCAAATTGCCCCAGCTTATTTTTGTTTGTTTTGAGAATAAACACTTTCCAACAAGAATTATTTCAGTCTGAAAAATGCATTTGTTCAACCTATGTTCTAACGCCGAAAATCTTAGCTATTATGAGATACTATTTATACAGCAGAAATGCCAGGTGATTCACATCAACAATTAGGAAATCCTGCCAATGATTTGAAGAGTAATGCGTTTATGCCCCAGTGCAGTTTAAGAATCCTGTGCATGGCTGCACCGCCTTGTTGATTAGTCAGCTTAGGTCACTGATCTTAAAAAACGTCTCACGCAAATACTTGGCAAACAAGCACAGGCAGTTGGCATTATTTTAGGAGAGGCATTTCACCTTTTCTAAGATTGTGCCCACTTTGACAAGCTGACTTCCTCGCTGTTGGGTTTTAGATGAAAAATATAAATGGGGCAGGAAGTCACAGAAGGGAGATGTTCATGCCTAGCCCATGAGGGTGGGACAAGTGTCCTTCATGATTTCCTCCCCCCTTTTCAAACACCAAGTGAAGAAATCCAAAGCTTGGCAGGTTGGATAGGAATCTAAATGGGGTGGGGGCTCGTTGCAAACTCTGACCTGTGGACAGGCAGCTCAAATTCAATCTGTAATCTGCAGTTCTTAACCTTGGAGCCTGTATAAAGGCAGCATCATATAAAGCAAACAGAGAGCACAGTTACACAGTACAAAAAAAAATACAATCCAAATACAATACCTGAGAAGGTATTCCCTTCTCAGAGTACCTGTGGATTGGGAAAATCCAGATTTAGTGGGTGTAAAATAAGGGCTGCCACTTAGATGTGGAGGTTGTGAAGAAATGATAATAAGAAACTGAGAGATATCTCACTTGGTAGAGCATGAGACTCTTAATCTCAGGGTTGTGAGTTTGAGCCCCATGTTGGGTGAAAGATTCCTGCATTGCGGGGGGGGGGGGGTTTTGAAAGAATGGCTACTTCTTGAAAACACTGACATTTTGGACTTAGAAGGTTTTAACAATGTATTTGGATGGCATGCATATTTATGGTACGATAAGGTCAAAGCACATAAAGCATTTAAAAACCATATTGTCAGGAAAGCGCTGTTTAATGTTTGGATAAGATATAAGGATTTGTTAGAAAACAAAACCCCAAGGTGGCTGTCACCAATGGAAGCGAAAGCCTTGAAAAAGCTCAATATGGAGGTCAATTGGCCAAAATATTGGGAAATTTTGGAACAAGATGGAGATAGACTGAAATTGCAGAGTTTTGAAAAACTAAAAAACAAAGTGCGAGACTGGCTTCATTATTTTCAGATAATGGAGGCATTTAAATTGGACAGGAAAATTGGCTTCCAGGTGGAAAGATCAAAATTGGAAACAGAATTGTTAGATCCTAAAACTAAGAATTTATCAAGAATGTATAACTTGCTGTTGAAATGGAACACACAGGATGAAACGGTTAAATCTGTTATGATTAAATGGGCACAAGATTTTGGACATAACATTATGTTTGCTGACTGGGAACAGTTATGGACCACAGGTATGAAATTTACGGCTTGTAATGCCTTAAGAGAAAATATAATGAAAATGATTTACAGGTGGTACTTAACCCCAGTCAAGCTAGCAAAAATCTATCATTTGCCAGATAGTAAATGTTGGAAATGTAAAGAGACGGAGGGTACATTTTTTCACCTTTGGTGGACATGCCCAAGGATTAAGGCTTTCTGGGAAATGATATATAATGAAATGAAAAAGGTATTTAAATATACCTTTCTGAAGAAACCAGAGGCCTTTCTTCTGGGCATGGTCGGCCAATTGGTGCGAAGGGAGGATAGAACTTTCTTTATGTATGCTACAACAGCAGCAAGAATACTCATCGGGAAGTACTGGAAGACACAAGAATTGCCCACCCGAGAAGAATGGCAGATGAAAGTGATGGACTACATGGAACTGGCTGAGATGACCGGCAGAATTCGAGACCAGGGAGAAGGGTCGATGGAAGAAGATTGGAAAAAATTCAAAATATATCTTCAAAAGTACTGCAATATAAAAGAATGTTAGAAGGAGGTTGGAAAAAGAATATTAGGTCGTTTGGGTAGATACGATATAATGGAATAAGCAAAAATGAGTTGATGAATTTGATGAAATAGAGGAGGTTTAATTACACTATTTTAATTTTAAAATACGTAAATGAAAATAAGGTTAGAGGGATTTGCTGGAAACACGATTTGAACTAGAATACAAAATTGGGAGGTGAGAGGAGGTCATGGAAATAAGTCAAGGGAAAAGGTTATGTAAAGGTTTAACCTGCTTTTGTTTTATTTTTAACTTAATGCATTTTTATATTTTTTGTTAAGTTTTCTTTTTTATCCTATCTTACTGTTCTTTTTATTTGTTTATTTTTTGCTTTGTTATGGTTAAAGTTTTCTTTGTATTCCGTATGGTTTTTCTTTTTTTTCCTGTAATTTTAAATTTGGAATAAATATCATTTAAAAAAAATATATGAATGGCCAAGGAGGGGCATGTACTTTTGTTGGTTGAGTGCAGAGCAGAGAAGAAAAGGCATTCGCAACCCTCTGGAGTCCTTCCTCCTATGGACTACAAACCAGCCCAGCAGCCTGACTGCCAGCCTCAGCTGGGCACAGGGCCACCTGTAAGGGAAAGAGCAACAGAACAGCTGTACATTGCAGGTCCAGATGAAATTAACAAATTTGTTGGGTGGCATTGTTCCACTACAGTGAAAGCAATTACTACTACTTCTATTACAATTATGAAGACACAACAGTCACAGATATATAGTCACAGATCCATTTCAGACCCTGGGGACTTCCTATGCCTATGATTGCAGCTGCCTGGAAGGATAGTGCTAAAAACCTGCATATATCTATACAGTGGTAGCTTGGGTTAAGAACTTAATTCATTCCGGAGGTCCGTTCTTAACCTGAAACTGTTCTTAACCTGAGGTACCACTTTAGCTAATGGGGCCTCCCACTGCTGCCACTGTGCAATTTCTGTTCTCGTCCTGAAGAAAAGTTCTTAACCCGAGGTACTATTTCTGGGTTAACGGAGTCTGTAACCTGAAGTGTCTGTAACCTGAAGCATCTGTAACCTGAGGTACCACTGTATAAAGCTGGGAATCCGTGCTAGCTAAAGGCATGAACAGGCGCTGGGTGGCATGGGAAGAATCCAGATAAAACCCAACCAGCTGGACAATGTGGCCCAAATAATTTCTGTCTTAAAACCAAGCCTAAAGCTCAGCTGAAATGGATCTAGAAAGTCAGTGCAGTCCTGGAGAGCCGGGAGCTCGCTGGGAGCCTTGCCTGTGAAGGGAGTGTTTGCAACGAACCAGCCCAGTGTTGCTCCTGGGTCCAGGCCATTTCTGCAGAGAGGTGAGTTTCAACACGGCCTCTTTGAGAGTTGCCAGGACCGCTCCCTCTTGCAGTGAGGAATTCTGTTTCCCTGTGTCAGATGTTGGAAGTGCTCCGTTTAGGCTGCATTGATAAGACCCAGTTGGACAGCTTCCGAACAGGCGGGTTTTTTGTTTGTTTGATTTATTTTGCCCTAGGGCGTAATGGAAAGGCAGTTCAATTTTCAGCCCTTAGTTGGGCCCTTTCCCCCTTCATGTTTGGTGCTCCTTTCACCACACACCCTTAGCTGGCACTTCCTCCTCCCCCTTGGAGACCTTTGTGCTTTTCAAAGCAAGGCAACAAACTCTCCCAGGCAGGGAAGAACATGTCAGCTTCTGGCAAGAGTTGGCTGTTTGGAGTTCTGCTCTGTGGCCTGTCCATCGCTGGAACTGCAGCAGGGGGTAAATACAGCTTCTTTTGCTTATTGTGGGGAAGTTTAAGAAGACTCATTTCAGGCAAAGGCTACGCTGATGGGACCCATAGGCTGCAATCCTTGGCATAGGTCCCCAAGAGTAAACCTCATTGAACACATAGTTCATGCTTCAATAGGGATTATGCTTCAATAGCCAACTAACTCTTTTTATTAGATTTGGAGGACAAAAGCAGGCAGGACAATTTTAGGTTAAGATGGATTAACACTCTTGATTATTGTAGGGGAAATGGGATACCACCAAATGCATGCTATAGCTTTACACTCTGCTTTGACAGAGGGAAAATGATATTGAAGTGGTTGAGTCAAGAGCTGTTGAAATTAAATATTTCACAGGAAACCTGCACTATTACAAATGAGACATGTGCATCATTAGTCAGGATAATTTTATAGTTTGCCCCTTAATCTATCCTTTATAGATATGTGTGTCAAAAAAGAAAAGGAAAAAAAAGAAAAAAGAGTTGAATAACAAAAGAAGAAGAAAACATTTGGGGCAGAATTCCCAATACAGACTCCGCTGTTTTGTTTGAAGTTGTTTATTTATGTATTGTTGTTAAGAGTTAGAATTTATTTTAGAATTATGTATGTATTTGTTTATTCTTAATATATCTCAATTCTGCCTTCATCCGAAACGTGAATGCCAGGGTGTGCAAAAAATAAATAAAAATCAAATAGCAATATGTCAGGGAACTGCCATCGGAAGGAAGGGTGGTGAAAGGGCTCACACAGGTTGGGAGAGACTCAGCAGCTGAAGAGGGAACCAGTAGGGGAGAGGAGCTGAGCTGAGGGAAAGTGAGCTGGAGGGATGGCTCAGAGACACTTCCAGCGAAAACAGTGGGGAGGTTTCAGGACCTCCTGTAGGAACACCCACTCCTCGCCGGAAACTGTCACGCAGAGAGTCCAGAAGACGTGTTTCCGTTAAGGAGCTTTATGTTGGAAGCGATTCCGAAAGCAACCACTGTCGGAATCTGCTAGTGACTAGAGGAGCCATGTCTGAGGGGCTCCGTCACAGACAGAGGTTTGTGGACTTGAACAAACTCTGAGGGGATACTATTTTACGCACAAGCAGCTCCTCATCCCATCACAGCATTCTGACAGTCTTTGAAAGCAGCTTGTGCAGAAGGCATCATGAGCAACCCAGCCGGAACCGGAGAAGCAGGAGCTGGAGCGGGTCCAAGCCTGGAAGAAAGGTACCGGGTGTTGGAGGTCCAGCTAGCGCTGCAGACGGCGAGGCTTGAGGAGAGGAGGGCTCAGGATGCAGACAAAAGGGAAAGCCACCCAGCTCGCCAGAAAGGTACCAGGATTGGTGCAGAAGTTTGGGGGGGAGCCCAAAGACTATCATGGCTTTCGGACAGAGATGCAATATGCACTCAATCTGCAGTTTGATGAATTCCCTGACGAGGAATCACGAGTGGCTTTCGTGATTGGGCATCTTGAAAAGGGGCGAGAGACTGGGTTAGACCCCTGATGGCAGCGAATAGTGACGTCCTAAAGGACACGATGAAGTTCTTTCGCGCCATGGATCTGATGTTTTCCAGCGATATTGAACAGGGAGTGGTGCGCAGACAGTTAATGGCTTGCAAACAGGGGAGCCGATCTGTCCGTGAGTACTGGACTGAGTTCACCATGCTGGTTCACAGATTGGGGTGGGACTTATCGGCGGAACCCATTCAAATGCTCTTTGAAGAAGGGCTTTCTTCGGCTGTGAAAGACGAACTTTCCCGGGCGCCCAGGGCGGAGTCTATGGACCAGCTGACCAAATCAGCGCTGACCATAGGAGCGCGCCAGGAGGCGAGAGCATTGGAGAGGCGGGAAGGGAAGGGGGAACGTTGGAAGGAGTTCCGCATTCCAGACATTCCAGAGCCAACTTTCCCGCCGGCAGAGCCGATGGAAATCGGAACAGCAGCGCGCGCGCAGTTTCAAAGCCCAGTGAGGGGGAAAGAAGGAGGGAAAAGGCGCCCGGAAATGCTATCTCTGCCAACAGCCAGGTCACTTTGCCAGAGTCTGCCCCCAGAGGAAGGAATGGCAAGGGATGGTAGGAGCTGTGGAGGGAAGAGAGGAAGAAATACCGGAGCAAGTAAAAGCCAACGCCTGGCTGCCACCGTCGGGGCACAGCAGCCAGGCCAAAGAGCAGTGAGAGTGCCCACGCCAGAACCTCCTAAACCCGCCCTAGTGATAGAAGTGGCGCTAGAGCTGCCAAACGGACACCCTCTAAAGATAAAGGCGCTGTTGGACTCAGGCAGCTCCTGCAATTTCATGAGCAAAGAGTTTGCAGCTGAACACCAGATACAGACGATCCCTTTAAGCCACCCCCTGCAGGTGACCACGATCGATGGCAGGGAGCTGTTGGGAGGAGAAGTCAGCTTGCAGACCGTCCCAATGATAATGAAGGTGGCAAGGCACACCGAACTGATAGCATTTAATGTGGCCACCTTGGGAGGAGCTCCCATTATATTGGGGATGAGCTGGCTAGCGTTACATGATCCGCTGGTGGGCTGGCATCAGAGAGTGGTTTCTTTTGGTTCAGCACATTGCTTAGAACACTGCAAAGAGGGAAAGGGTTTGGCAGGGGCCCAAGCCACCCTAGCAGGGACTGAAGTAACGGAGAACGTGAAGGTACCACGACAATACGCAGATCTCCGCGACGTCTTCAGCGAAAGGGAAGCTGACCAACTACCCCGCATAGACCCTTTGACTGTCAAATCAATTTACTCCCTGGGGCACAGCTCCCTGTAGGCAAGCTGTACGCCATGTCAGACAGAGAGATGCAGGAGCTAAGAGAGTTCATTGACAAGAACCTGAAGAGAGGGTTCATCAGAGAGTCCAGGGCGGTGGGGGGCAGCCCAGTGTTTTTGTGGATAAGAAAAACACGAACAAGCCGAGGCTGGTGTGTGACTTCAGGGCCTTAAATGCAGTGTCAGAACCAGTGGCCTTCCCTATGCCCAGGATTGACGACATTTTGACAAGGGTGCGGAAGGGAAAGATTTTCACAAAGCTGGACCTAAGGGGGGCGTACAACCTGATACGAATAAGGAAGGGGGATGAATGGAAAACCACCATGTTCACCCCTTTAGGGGCATTTGAATATTTGGTTATGCCCTTCGGCCTACAAGCAGGCTCCGCAACCTTTCAATCGTTTATGAACCACGTCCTGGGGCCTTTGCTTTACAAGAATTGTGTGGCCTTCTTAGACGACGTGTTGGTGTATTCTGAGAATGAGGAGCAGCATGTGAAAGACGTCAGAGAAGTGTTGAGCAGGCTGCAAGCCAACCAGCTGTGGGTGAAACTGGAGAAGTGTCAGTTTCATACCAAGGAGGTGGAATTCCTGGGGTATCGCCTGTCAGACAAGGGATTGGCCATGGATCCCGGCAAGGTCCAGGCGGTGCTGGAATGGAAAACACCCAAAACAAGGAAGGATGTGCAGAGGTTCCTAGGATTTGGGAACTTCTATCGTAAGTTCATCCGAAACTTTGCCCACCTGACGGCGCCCATTACGGACTGTCTCAGCAGTAAGAAGAAGTTCGTTTGGACTGAGGAGGCGGAGCGAGCATTTGAGGAACTAAAAGGGCCTTCGCCTCGGAACAACAAATCCTGCATGTGGATTTACAAAAACCGATGAGAGTGGAAACTGACGCATCAGACAGAGCGATTGG